GGGAGAAGGAGATTTGATGGACTTGGTGGCCCTTCCAGAGCAGGAGGGAAGGTAGGGTAGGGCTGGTTGTGACCCAGTTGCTATTTGATTGGCTGTGGTTGTCTGCCCACTTCTGGCTCAGAGGGGAGAAGGAAGAGCTGGGTGTAGAGAGTTGGCCGTCATTGGGTAGAAACATGTCATCCTCGATTGCCCACTCTTTCAGATTCAGACTCAGAGGATGAGGACTCCCACTTCTACTCAGCGGATGAGACGGGCACGCAGCAGAAAAGGGGGGAGCAGAGATACCCATCGCCCCAGAGCTGCATCTCTGTTGTGCTTCGCGTGGGCAAGGGACGGATTACGGCTCTCTGCGACGCCAAAGTAAGAAACTGCAGCCGTATACATTTTCTAAATAAAATGAAATAGCTATTTTTAAAAGAATGTCTAAAACTAACCACTTTTTGGAAAATCAGATTGACCCATACAAAGAAACTCTGGCACATTTTCTTGCAGGAACTAGTTCCTCCCAGCTCCAAAGAGAAAGGAGAGGAGATATTTTCAATTTAATTTTTGCAGCGACATCCAGGAGGCAGAATTTTAAGCCCTTTTTGCATGGTGTGTCTGTTGGGGGGGGGGAGGAGCTTTTAAAAAGAGTAGAACTTGCTCCCCTTTAACACTCTGTGTTTTGATCCCCCTTGAGAAACAGATGGGAATTAATGACTTTTTCTAGGCCAGATTCATAATAACTTATTTGTACAGTGCTTAACTAAGTAAGAACCTGGTTCTGCATTTGGGTAACTTGATCAATTTGCTAATTGCTGCCCTTGGTTGAGTAGTTTATGTCTTGCTGTGTGGTGCAAGCCTAGCTGACGTGGTTTGTTTGTGGTCTATGGTATTAGGGTTGCACCCAGATGTTGACAGTGTGATCATGGCATATTCTGAGAGCTACTAGAAGGGGATTTGGAGATGTTTTCAGATACCGTTGAACATCTTTTTTAGCCCTGATCTGCCCAACCTAACCCATGGAACAATTCTCCAAGGTTCCCCTTTTATTTACGTGTCCCTCAAGCAACCAGACGTGTTTAGAGCTCAGATTTCTAGCTTCCTCCTGGTTCTCTGATCCCCTCAGTTGGTTACCTTGGCCCAACCCCAGCTCTCTCTCTGAGTCAGCTCTTCCCTTCGTCTCTGCAGGGCGAGGGAGGCAAGAAACTGGAAGCCACCCACGGGGAACTCATCTTGGATGTGGAGAACGGTAGCCTCTTCAGTGTCTCGCACTACAAAGGCCGCGAGGACATCGGCTACTTCTGTATTGAGGCAGAGAAGGTGGCCCTTTATCATAAAGGTAGGGATCCAGCGGTGGTGCGAGTATGTGTGTGTTGGGAGGGGGGGCTCTGTTGGATTGCCCTGTAGACCTGTGTTTCTCAACCTCAGCAACTTTAAGAGGTTGCTGGCTGGGGAATTCTGGGATTTGAAGTCCACTCCTAAAATTACCAACAACAACAACACTGTTGAACAACACTGATCCAGAGCTCCTCCCACTCCTGTCTCACCCTCCTCCCTGTCTCACATACCAATGGCCCTCCTTCCAAAATAGCCTATCAAGAGATCATCCAAAGATCTAATTTCTCTTTTTCCAAAGACATTACGCAGCCAAGTCCTTCAGTTCTAATAAATCTCTCTCCCTATTCCTGCAAATCCCAGCAGAACAGTTCTGACTTCTCCATTCCATGTTTACTCCATTGTCAGCTCTCCTGGGTAAACCAGGCAGGAAACACGACCAGATGAGTTACTTCTATTATACTGTTAGGCTATGTGAACAGGATCTTGCAAGTCTGAAAGTGCAAATGTCCCACCATCCCTTTTACTGCCTGATCAGTTAGGGCAGGTCCTTGCTAAGTTTCTTTCTCTGCCCGTTACTCGGTTGTGGGCTCCTCCCTCTTTTGTCTGATCATTTCCTTGGTTAGGGTTAGGGTTAGGTCTCCCCCACCCACACTGCACCTCACGACCCTGCCCCACACCCCCGCGCAACCCCTGGCTCCCTCCCCCACCTGGCAGCAGCCACTTATATGCCTGCCGGCCCGGAACTTGCAACTTCCTGTCGGCTTCCCCACTGACTTTGCTTGTGGGAAGCCGGCAGGAAGTTGCCTCACCTAACAGCTGTGGGATTTGGTTAACAACAGCAACCGGGACTGCGGGGATTGCTGTCGCTAAGCAATGTGGCCACGTAACATTGCGCTTTACAACCGCATCTCACTTGCTGTTGTAAGTCGAGGACTACCTGTATTTTTCTGCTTTGGGGAGGCATCTGAACATTTTCATCTGACTATACCCTTGCTTCTTTTGCTTCTGCTGACTGTTGCGGGGGTGGAGAGAAAAGGGGCTTGCGAAGGGACGAGGACCAGAGCAGGTTACAGACCTCACAGCATTTTAACCTGTGATGCTTTCTCTCTTGTCCCCACAGCTGTCATGGAGGACTATCTTACAGCTGAACATCTGGAAATTCCCAATTTCCTGCCCCCTGATGGGCTACACCCCACCATCTACGCCTCCCAGGAAGGTCCTATCAGCTGGCCTTTGGGGGCCAAGAAGGACGAGCCCTTCAAGATGCTCTCCGTGGCCATCCAGATCAATCTGGACTTGGAGAAGAACATAAAGGTGTCTTGGACAATGGGGAGATGGTTCTCGGGGCTGTGGCTTATGGGAATGGTCTTTCCAATTGGCTCTGTGGTTTGTGAGAAGAACAGGATTGGCTAGTGGGTGGGTTGGGTAAGTACTGCCTGTAGCCCTTTTGGCTCATTCTGGCACAAGGATTATACTGGGAACACACAACACACTTAACTTGTTCACTGAATTGACTCATTTTCTGGGTTGGTATAATACTGTGTTTCTCAACCTTGGCCGCTTGAAGATGGGTGGACTTCAACTCCCAGAATTCCCCAACCAGTCATGCTGGCTGGGGAATTCTGGGAGTTGAAGTCCACCCATCTTCAAGCGGCCAAGGTTGAGAAACACTGGTATAATATCATGACCCATAAGCGGGGTTTGTATGCAAAACCATCAGGCTCTACTCAGTGAAGACTAACCAAGATGGTACACTGTAAAAAAGTAGCTGCTAGGGTTTTGTGCTTGTGTGAACATAACTCTGGAGGATCCATAACTGATTCTTCAAATAATCTGATTTTCAGGGTTCACCCAGCACATGTGATTATAAATTAACTACATGGGTTAGTTTTGGGCAACACACTGGAAGCGAATCTGGCTAGCTTTCAGTTCAGGGATTGGGTCTGCATCAACTTGGTTACCAAATGAACTCATTTTCTGGGTTTGCACACTGTCGTAAACTAACCAGACAGGCCGAGTTCACATAATGCATAAGCCACAAAAGACGAGCCAAGGTTAAAACTAACCAATGTAGAAATGTAGCTGTTAATCTGTCTCTGGTCTTAAAGTATTGTGCCATGCAAACACAGCTATTTCCATTTGTTGTTTCCTTTTAAGGAGAGAACCATTTGTCGAAACCCCTCTTAGCACTATCTCCCATGATCCTTTTCTGCAAGCCCCAGGGCCATTTTAGCACGTCTCAGTCCCAGAAAACTGAAACCAGCTTCTGTGGCCTCAGAAATGTCTCCTGGATCCCACCTCATGAAGAGTTGGTTTCTGGGGTCGAGCTCTCTGGCTTTTTTAGAATTCCTTGGCTCCCTTGGGGTACCTGGACCAGCGAAGGATGGCTGTGGGAAAACGTAGGGGGAAAGGCTAAGCCAGTGACCCAGTTTTTGCTCCTTGGTTTCAGGAGTTCCTGGTGACGCTGCGCCTCGAAGGCGCCACCCTACGGCACCACATGGCACTTGCACACCAGAGCTGGTACACACAGGTGAGGCCGGATCCCCCAAAGAAGGTTTTTTGCGTTCTGGTTATAAGAGGAGAGGGGGCTGAGCTGGTGGGGCCTGAGCAGCATCTGGGAGCAGCCCCTTTTTCTATCCTTTCTTAGACCGGGCTGAGGTTAGCCCCGGGCGCTGGAGAGCCTGCGGGCCAGGCCAGGGCTCTGGGGCTCTCGGTTCACGTCTCACGGCAGCATCTCCTTCCGCCAGTTGATCGACTTCCTGGATGTCGTGGATGACCCCATCCTGGGCTTCGCGCCCCCCGCCATCATCACCGTTCTGCACACCCACCTCTTCAGCTGTGCTGTGGATTACAGGTATCGAGGTCACGAGCCCCAAGGAGATTGTCCCACTCAGCGTTGCCTGAGTTGGCCGTTGGCTGTTTTTGTCAGTCCCGCCTGGGGAATGAGGCTGGAGATTGGTGGTTGTGTTCCCACAGTGTGCTAAATCCAGGTTAAACGAAGGGCACAGAACATGCTGTTCCCAAACAAGGAGACCAACTGCTGGTCTGGGTCCCATCAAGTGCCTACAGAAGGGCTGGGTTCTTATAACAAACTGGGTCCCCAGTGACTCAGATTTCAGTTGCGTCCTGTGGCTTGTGGGAATCCAGCCGTTATGCACAGAATGTGTGCTCTGCCACTGAGCCGTGGGATCAACTTGCCCAGAATGGGGGGAGGCCAGCCAGGCTAAGGAGAGATGGCCTGGTTTATTCGGTTTCATTCCAGCCTCCTTCCACCAGCTGCTGGAGCTTTGGGGGGGCAGCACATACAGAGCTCTGGTCCAGGTGGGGCTGCTGTGCTGTGGCTCCCCCCATCCCGCCAGGGGCTGACTCCGACTTCTATGCAGGCCTCTCTACTTGCCCATCCGGGTCCTCATCATGGCTGAGACCTTCACGCTCTCGAGTAACATCATCGTGGACACCTCCGTCTTCCTCCTCCGGTGTGTGATGGGGCTGGGCCTTCCGAAGCTCTCTGGGGGGGCCACAGCAGGAGGTACCATGGAAGCCGTGGTTGGGAGAACGCCACTGCTTCGCTTGGGAGGGGGCTCCTGCAGAGAGGTAGGTTTTGTGGAAGCGGGCAGGGGGCCACCTGTGCCTTGCCCCCTCCCTGTAGAGAAGGACGCAGTCTGCATCCGCAGCAGGACAGGCGCGTTGAATCCAGCATGGGTGCGCTGGACCTGCTGGCTTCCACCTTTGACTTGCCTTTCCACCGAGAAGCCCCACACAGGAGCAGGGCTTCCCTCCCTCACCTAATTCCCACAAGGACCTGCAAGATGTGATGGGCTGAGAGGTTTGGCCAGTCCAAGTCATGGTCCAAGGACATCCGTTCTCAGCCTGCCTCCTCCCAGGTGCCCAGATTTGTTGGGGCGCTGTTTCCGTCTGCTCCAGCCGATGTGGCATGTGCCAGCCAAGGGAGCTTTCACACAAATCTCCTTTCCCAGCCGTGGCCTCTCCACAAGCTGGCCAGGCAGGGGGCCCACCCCTTGTCTCCCCGCCCCTGGCAAAGTTTCCCTCCAGCGTTCAGGGGTGCGAGCAGAGGGCAGTCCTCGTGTCCGTTGGAAGGGGGAATCTAACCGGCCCACTTGTTCCCCACCTAGGTTCATTTTGGATAACTCCACTCTGTTCCTCTCCAACAAATGCGAAGCAGAGACGGGTGACCTGAATAAAGGTACCCCATTATCTCCCACTCCCCCCACCTCCGATGGGGATTTCCTCTGGCAAATGTCCGGGCCTCTCAGGAGAAAGATGGGTTGCAACCAGCCTTAAACAGGGGGAGATGGTTCAGCCAGGGACCACATTTTTAATATTATTTTTACTGTTGTTAACGCTTTTATCACAGCCCCCAAAGGCCACAATGCTGCGATTTCCACCTATTGGGGCGGGTTGGAACTTTCAGCCTGTTTTTCCCCTCTGGTTTTTTTTTGGAGATGGGTAGAGGAGAGGGTCTGACTGTAAAATGTGTATGCACAGGTGCCTAATGAATGACATCTTTGCTTCCATTTCTTCCCCCCCACAGCAAAAGTTCCTGGAAATTGTACCACCCTCATGGGGTAGTAGTTGGTTCCCTTGGAACTGTGTTCTACTAAAAGTACTCCCTGGTACTTGGTCCCTTGCCCCCTTGGAGACCTGATCCTATTAAATTGGGAATCCCAGAGGCTAAGCAAGTCTTCCTCCAGCATCCTTCTTGCTTACTGAGCTCCAGTAAGCAAGAAACATTTTTCTCTCGGTCTAGATTACGTTTGTGTGGTGGACGTGGACCTTCTGGAGCTGGTCATCACCACGTGGAAGGGAGCCACGACTGGCAAACTGGTGCGTTCCTAGAGGCTATTTCTGCAAAGGGGGGCCTTGGGGTTTGCCGGACTCTGTCCCCCTGACTTTTTTCTCCCTTCAGTTCTTTAATTTAAAAAAAAAAGATTGGGAAGGTAGGAAAGAGCCAGGCAGAGCATTGGCTTCAGGCACATTTTTCTATTTCCAAAAGTCTCCATAGGCTCTTTTGGTAGAGGTGGAGAACAATGGGGGGTGGGGGTGGGGGTCAGAAGCGCAACTTGGAGTTTTCCTTAGAAGTGGGTCTTGCCAACTCAAAAAACAAAAGACACAGATAAGCTGAGATCCTGGAAAGCATGAGAATGAAGTGCAATGTGAAAATTAAATCTTCAGCTCTGAAAATTGGTATTTTGTGACACATGAGACTCCCATGTCACTCTTGAATGTGTTTTCAACATTCCCCTTATGTGCACTGACCCAAGAAGATGTCCCCTGGCCAGGACTGAAGGGCTGAAATTAATATGTCCTTTGGCACATGCTGCGCAATGCTGCCCACCTCATCTCTTTAAAAACAGGACAGCCGCCCTTCAGTATGAGAGCTCTCCCAGGGGAGCTGACAGCCTTTTGGCCTGTCTTCCTGCAACACGCTGAGCTGGACTACTGAATGCAGTCATTTGCTGGACATGTAAACTCATCTGGCTGGATTTGCAGGATTCACTAAGCCTCAACTTGGGGCAAGTTAAAACTAACCTAGGTAGCCTGTCGCATGATTGTCGCTGCTCATTCCATTAACCTGGTTGAACTTAGTCTTCAAAATACAGCTGGGTGGGGAGAAAGACAGGGTGGGTGGAGCTGGGGGGGCTGCCACCCCCTAGTGCAGTGTTTCTCAACCGTGGCCACTTTAAGATGTGTGGACTTCAACTCCCAGAATTCCCCAGGGCTGGCTGGGGAATTCTGGGAGTTGAAGTCCACACATCTTCATGTCACCAAGGTTGAGGAACCCTGATGTAGTCCACTCCTCTGCAGTGTGCAGCTGGTTGTCTTCTTGAAAGCCTTCAGGGATGGAGAACCCACCACCTCTTGTAGGTAGACAGGGCCATCAGGAAGTTTTTCCTTATATTTAAGCAAAATCTAGGTAGCGGCAATGTATACCCTTGTTTCTGGTCCTAGTTTCTGTAGCTGTGAAAAATTTAAGACCATCTTTCCTGATGGTCAGTCTTCCCGTCAATCTTTGCTCCTGACATAACAGGCTTTGAGATGCCTTTCCCTCAAGAAGAACAGGAAACCAAAGATGGAGAAATTAACATATATTTTTTTGAAAAAGGGATGATCATTAAGAGTAAAGCTCAATTTGAGGGACTCTTTCCTATAGCCACTGCTTAAGAATTCACCCATAAGGTTGTAATGATTCTAAATACCCTCTGTGGCAGCTGGGGAATTCTGGGAGTTGAAGTCCACACATCCTAAAGCTGCCAAGTTTGGAAAACACCGATGTACAGGAACCATAAGAAGGTGTTTTTGGTATCTATTTATTTATGCAAGAGACAACCAGAAGGCACCATTTATTCCATCTCAGCCTTATGGCCTTTGTTTCCTGAACCACTCTTCCCGTTTTCTTCCCCTTTTTTAAAAATGTTGCATATTTTGGTTTGAGAGGCAAGACTTGCAGCGTTGCAGAGAGCGTCCCCCAGTTCTTCTTGAGAGTCTCTAGAATATAAGCCTTGGCATATGGTTTCATATTCATCCGTTGCATATGCATGAGAAATAAATGAGCATGAAATGGAAACATAGCGCTTTTACGTTGTAGCTGCTGTGTTATATGCTGCATCGTTGTCCACCAGTTGTACAACTCCCAAAGTCATTTTTCAGGGATATGGAAATGGGAGAGAAGAATGCCCAGCTTCCATCAACTTTCATAACTTTATTTTAGGAACAAAACCACTGTATTTCTGCTCAGGCCCTACAAGACAGTAGAACAATGGATTTTTTTAAAAAAATCTGCCGCGCGTCGTTCCTTTTGGCTGAAGAAGCTGAGTAGCTCCAACCCGGTTTCAACGTATTTAAAATAAATCAATAAAAAGCACGCGTCAGCAGCTCGCTAGTTATTGTTAATTAAAAAATTTATCCCTGGGAAGACGGCAATTCTGCCATTTAACTCATTTGGTCACAATTTCTTACACGCGATCGTTGCTTCCTGTATTGTGTAGCTGCTTAGAAAGCGCCGTAATAGATTCGAAGGGGATTCCAGTAAGAAAGATGGTGATTACCTGGTGCTTAATCATCTGCAGCTTTTACTCAAGCAAGCAAAGAAATCTGTATTTCAGGAAAAAGGGCTGAATTTTACCTGCCACCGGGCAAACCTGTATAGAGTTCCGGGCAAAGCTCTCAATGAACTTTGTGGTTATTTTTATTTCATTGTTAGAATTGTTTTAATGAGTTGTACCATCGCGGCTTTTTAAACATTGTTTGGATTGCTTCACGGGGACAGGAGATACCAAGTCATAAAACTCAAACTAAACTGAGCATGCCAGAGCTTGCTCCCATGCCACCAAACTAATGGGTCACACGGTTTAGGCTTGTTCATCTGTTGGGTGAGATCTTGGCCACGGGTCCTGGTCGTGGGGAAAGAAGTCGAGTGAAGCCCTCTTAGCTTTTTTATTTTATTTTATTTTATTTTATTTTATTTTATTTTATTTTATTTATACAGCCACCCATCTCACACATAGTGCAAAACTGCAGGTGGGATCCAAGGGTTTTGCATCGCTCCCCTGGGATTCTCTCTGTAACACTGTAGAAACTTCAGTGTTCCTGAATGG